TGATATACCATGAAAAATCTCCATCGTAAATCTCCAAATTTAAGTGTGTAATTAGCATATTTGGAACGGCAATCCTTTGCTACAGATTTACACAGAAGCAATTTAAATAGCAGCTTTGGGTAGGATATTAAGAAACATAAAATTTAACTGACAGTCATAAACCTAATATTTTACAACTCAATATTGCTTTATAAATATTTTAAATCTACAAGTGTTGCAAATGAAGTCACATGGTTGAATAAATTTTCACAATATAGTAGCTTCAGCAATATAGCTAAAGAACAAACTGATATCATACCCTTAAAATTACAGGGAATTTCCCATTGCAATTTTCAATGAATTAAACAAATTAATTGCAGCCATCAACATTCTTCAAAATTAATTTAAATTTATTGACCCTTTCAGATTTGACAAATAGACAACAACAAAAATGTAACATGTTTTCAACCTGCCAGCTACCTGTAGAAATAAATTTAAAAAATCATTTAAATATGCCACAGTAATTAATAGTTGGTAGCAGAAAGTCAGTCGTTAAAATCAATATTTATAGACCAAGATCAATTTATCATTTTGTGAAGGCATTTCAACAATGTATCGGTGTCTCTATACACTAAAATATATAATGCTGCACTTTATGTACGTAAAATAAGTGTAAAATAATACATAACCGGCATGCCAATTACCAATTTAAATTCTGAAATGACAGACAACGTATACAGCTATAGATTTTGTTTTCCAATTATTTATAAGGAATCTTCTAATTTCCGGGTCTAAAGCAGTGCCCAAAGAAAAAAAAAACATCAGACTTAAAAAAAACAGTTCCTTAATTAATAAATGATCACACACAGGCCACTGTGTTATAGGCATTATTTCAAGGTGATTTGCCTGCCTTTCTCTTTGAGTGAAATAGCTTTTGCCTTCACTGGCAAAAACTGATTTATTTTCAAATTGTATGCAATACTTTCTGAATTAAATTCCATACTACTAATGCCCCCCCCCCTTCCAAACCCCAATTTTGCTTCATAACATTTTACTAAATATAACTTAATCTTCAAAAATAGGGCTAACCTCCTTTTTCTATGTAATATATGATGATTTTTGCTTTTGTTAACAGCTTTTAATTCATGTTGACGCACTTTTTTTCTGCTACAAAAAGTAAATGATTATGCCTTCTGTCAGAACGATCTAATACTTTAGCACTCTATTATAAAACATATAAATATGGGACAATGTAAAAGCAATTCTATGACGAAAAGATAATGCACAGCAAAATTCAAGGTATGAATAATGATAAAAAAAAAAAAACCAGATTCCTGAGAATTTGCAAGTGGAGTTTTTTTTTTTATACCTAAGCTGCTAGAACCATGATAATTAAACACACCAAAAATAATTTCATTAGTAATTCAAATTGGCCATCAAGCAGGTCTTCTTAGTTTCTAAACTCCATAAAAAAAGTCCAGTAAAATATAATTAAATATTCACACTTCAGGAATTACAGTCGTTAATATTGCAGATGGGAACATTTAATAGAATTTACATAGATTAATATCTCATTACGTCAAATGAGAACGGATGTTGCTCTGTTATATACAAACGTATAAAAAAAGACACGGATAAAAAAACAGTAGCAACACATTTGTCACTTATGTAATTTGACATATTCTTAAGCCACGGTAGGTTAAAGGTTCCATCTCCCTTCTCTTCATTTCTTTTTTGAATACTGTTTCAATCAAATTCAAACTTCAGCAAATTGAAGCTATAATATGAGCAACATGGTTACAACAAACATGCTTATAAGCACTCAGTCATGCTTGGTTTTCATTGCCAGTAAGTTTAAAGCATAAAATATTATAAACTTACAGGATATAAAGAATTGCATTTGAAACGAATCAAAAATGTTTATCCCTTGGACTTGCCTTTTTTGTACGTGGAGTAATAGAAATTTTTAAGGCAAAATTTATCACTCTCAATTTTACCTTCTTACTATTACAATTTTTTCAAATTTGGTTCTGAGATATTGTGATGATTTTCCACATTGAACCCTGGTATTTAAGTTTGATATATTTTCATCTTGAACCCTGTGCTAATTGTGAAGTTTTTCACTTTGGACCCTGAGATATTAAGGCTTTTTCACCTTGATCCCTGAGATATGCTGATTTCTTCACATCAAACCCTGAGAATAGCAGTGTATTTTACCTTTTAAAAAATACTTCATGACAGGTAACATTCAGGTTTACCATACAGTAAGAGCTTCTTTGCAAAATTAGAGTTGTATATTTTTTTTCTTTTGTTTAATGACCAAAGTTTTTTGCTTAAAAAAAATATTCAAACATAACAAACTGTATAGGTGTTTACAAAGTCATTAAAAGGACGAATCTCTTGTTTCTGGTAAAATTTATGAAGACAAATTTGATATATTTTTGCCAGAGGTCCTATCTTTGATTCTAGTTTATATCTATTCACTCATATAAAATATTAATTCTTTGGTGTTACATACTGTTCTTCCAAAAGAAATCTTAGTTAAAATTGAAATGAATACTATTTAATCATATATTACAGGACGAAATGTAAAGGAAATTGACTTTTAACTTGCCAATTCTATAAAGGAATAAAGGGCATTAATTCCAGTGAGAGTTATCTCTCTTGTCAGAGGGTTGATGAACCTTAAGTGACTGGGGAAAGTGGTCATGCATATTTAGCACAGGGCTGCAAAGACAATATATATTTCAGCAACCTTGATGATTTTCAAATTGTAAATCACATTGCTATAATTATACAATGAAGCAGAAGGTTTAACTCTAGTTTCCCTCTGTTTTGTAAATAAAGACATGACACTCCTTTTGATCCACCACATAAGTAAGTGACATACTTATATTTTTTTCTCTGTGTAGAATTTCACTTCCTTCCACTGGCACATATAACACATACATAAACACACCTATATAAGGAATTATTTTCTTTCCTTTTCATTTTTTGTTTTCTACCAAACATTTATGAACTGCAATTAACTGAATTAAGTACGTAATTTGAGTTCAACAGAAAATTTTACAGATATAAAAATTTGTAATAAAAAGTCAATTCTCAGTATTAAGAGGTACCCCCTTGACCCACACTGATTTTTGTGATACAGTTGTACAATACATCCTTTTCTCAAGCATTTTAAAAGTGTGCGTGTGTCATAAAATATATTTCGTGAAAAGGAAAGTCGGCTGTTATTAGAGCCATTTTTTTATGTCGTTTTGAGATTGAAGGTCTCGTTTTTTTTCCTCCTCGATTTTAATCACAGAATGCATTACAGTTCTCTCCAATGTTGATATAATTGAGCATTAAAAGGAACTTAAGGCTCTGTTAGTCAATCAATATTGTCTGGTTTTTTGAAGTACTTAATTCTTTATAACCTGATTTCAAAAGTCAAACAAACTTGTGTTGACAATTGCAGAACATGAAATCCATTAAACAAATTTTCTATTGAGCGCGGAGGAGCGAGTTGTGTGCTTTTGGTGTTCGGGTTTATGTAATTGTCACTACTTCTACAGAGAATCCTTTGTTATGTTTTCTGATTAGCTGCCTTTTAAACATTTGGTAAGCTGGTTAGAGGTTTTAAGAACATTTTATGCAGGCCTGCAGTGGAGACATACTCTGTAAAGCTGTGTCTGGACTGAAGCATTTTAATCTCCAACCTGGCCCTAGGGCAACATCACCTCACAGTTCTACAATATACCTACACTCCAAAACCTTCACTTAACGCAGACAAGGAGTCTTACAACTACATGTTAAGATATTAAGATGGTGTCTCATTTTGTTGGTTGACACATGCATGGATAGGTTATAACAAATTCTTACAAATATCCTCTCTTTGAAAAATGAAACGTAGATATAAAGCCATTACAAATAATTCTGCTTAGGTGGGTCACAATATCCAAGGAGTTGAAATTTCTCTTTATTTCCTACAATAGTGTTTCCTTAAGTCTCTTCAATTAAAATCTTTATCTGGAATTTACATACACTGCACCTTTCACAATTAGTATATTTCCATTTTTATACATATAGTAATTATTTTAAAATTTTTTGTAAGATAGTCCGTTCTGAGAAGGTTGCTGAGCATATGCTTGAAATCTGATAAAGTGTATTAATTCCTGTTAATCTTGATCAAAGGAGTCAAGAGAAAAATATGTATACTAGTAAAAAATAGTTGTTTAGTTTTTAGCTTAAAAAATTTGAATCACATGAATGATTCATGCTGATTGGAATGGGGATTGGTAAATTGGCCGGGTAGCTAAATGGTGGTAGAGAAACCACATGGGTTCAAGGCCCTCTTTGGCCAAAACTTTTTTCTGTTTTTATTTCATGTTCAACAAAAAACCTGTGGGTAGTTTTACAAGAGTATCAGTGATGTTTTTCTTAGAAAAAAAAATAAAGAGGTAGAGTTTGTACAGGCAATCAGGTACATGAGTAGTGGATGGTGAGTAGGAGGTCTGAAACTCAAGTGACAGCCTGACCAATATTTTTCTCTGTTGTACATTTGTTGTTATTTTATGTTTATATGAAGGACTGAAGAATTTTTAAGCTGTTTAGTTTGGGAAAAAATTTGACACAATTTCATAATTTTGTTTCCAATGTTCCAAATTTTATATATTTATTTTGCTTCTACTTATTAATCCAGGTGTTTAATTTAGGATAAATCTTTGAAGGTGTCACATTGTTTTATGTGCTTCAAATAAAGTTAAATATAATTGGAATTTATGAATGGAATGATTTTGCCCTTTTTAGGTAACGTTTTCTAAAATATAATAATAAATCAAGCCAAATCATATGACTTTTAGTACAAAATACCTTTTGAGTATTATTATTATTTTACCAATTTTAGAGTAATTTTCTCTGCAAGCAGTTACGATTTGTAAATCACCATCTCTCATATTACACTGAAATAAAACAATTCATAATACCAATGTCACTTTGTAATGTTTTATTGACATTTCCGTCACGTGAATTGTACTCACATTTTACCATTCCCGAGGTAGCGTTCCAGGTCCATGTCCAAGGCTTCATCTATCACAAAGTCCTGGACTACAAAAACAAAAAAAGAAATCCATTCATTCATACTTCACACCATTAAAATCCATCTTCAAAATTAAATCCTCAGTCCAAATATCAAAGTCATGAAATTTACCACAATAATCACTTAATGGACCAGATGGAAAATTGACAACCATTTTTGGAATCAAAATATTATCAAAACTGTCTGATGATTATGCAGTTCATTTAATTGTTACAATCGTTAAGAGGTCAAGGTCAGTTGTAAGAGATGGCTGCTTCTGTGGTCTAGTCCAACCAGAACGACACAAAGACAGATCTTAGATTCCATGTATTCAATTCCAAAACAGATATGTAAATTGTATGACATCAATAAGTGATGTTCACTGGAGATATTATAATAATGAGGCTCATAACATCTCTGTAATTGTCACCTGTATATATTAATTCCTTACTAACAGAAATTATATTATGCCTACAATTGGAATTAACATGCAGGCTTCTTCAAATTAGATGCCTTTTTATACAATGAACCCATTAAAACCAAAATGAAAGTCGAAAAAACAAAAGGAAAACTTTCATATATAAATTCAAATGACATGGTAGGAGACTAACAACGATTAAGGTGTTATACATCAGAGTGCATCATTGTACATGTACTTAGATCAAATCAAAGTATAAGGGAAAAAGTGTACAGACATTATACAAAAATATTCTTTTTCTTAATTAATGCAAGTACTACTTAGGTCTTGGCATGCTTCGTACAAAACATGATTCAGCACTGTTGTGTTTGACACGTATTGAGGTCAGAATACCTGAATATGTGTGAAATTAACTTTTTTATTAATTACTATTATGAAATGGCACAAGTAGAGAGGCAATGTCAGGTATGTGCATTACTTGCAGAGGATACAAAGCACTGCATGGTCAAACACACTGGTTGTAACAGAGAACCACTGTCGAGAACACAGGCAATAAAATGTTAGGAAAATTGTCAGATGATAGTCTGTAGTCTTTGAATTAAATTATAACAATATATTTCATTTTCAACATTATTGAAGACATCTCTTTACAAAGTCATTTTAATTCACTCATTGAAAGCACAAAAGAAAGTCATTCCAAAACTGCAAAAGCTGACAGACTGTTGGATGGACCTGACTGATTTAGTGTGTTGCCTCATGTACCATTCCTTGTTTTATACACCTGACCAAAATGTCAGATGTCTCTGTGTCTGATTTTGAATTTTACTATTTTGAAATGAAATCATAAAACAATTTTTGTTTTAAAATTAATTGATGCAGGATAAACAAAATACATGACAATTATTAACTGTCTTGAAATGCAAACAATTGGGCCTGGGCCGAAAACGTGATAGAGGGCTGGGCAAGCCTTGACTCCTCTATCTTCATTTCTTACCCTCAACCAGATATTACAGGTATTTCAAGATTACGTTATGATCATGTATTTTATATGTAATAACACAGGGGCACCAAAAGGGCTATTATGAAAGGTAAACAAGTACACTGGTACATTTGTAAGAACATATTTACAATGATAAATACATGTACTCATATTCAAACTATGCCAAGAAGATAAATAATTCATATATCATATGTAAATAATCTGATACCATGCACTGATAGATAAACTCTTATGCACCAAAGAGATTTATTATCATTTAGAAATCATATATAAATACATACACAATAAAACATGCTTATAGCCAATATGCTTTAGGAGTGATAAAAAAGTTTCATTGCAAAAACTCAAAAGTTTTTTAGATATCGTTCCATAAACTAAAGTGTATCACACAAACAGAATGTATGAATTTATGACCTTGACCTCTGATCTTTTGACTTTTAAAATCAATAATTGTCCTTTTTTTTTTTTTACATCATAGTGTGTTGTGTTATTAATATTTGTTTAAGAAAGCTCAAAGAAACTTTATAATGTATTATCTGAAAATGTATATAATTTTTTTTACCAACTGATATTTGACCTAAAAATAATAGGGGTCATTTTTAGGCCATAAAGAGTTGTGATGTAAAATTTCATAGAAAAAAAACTAAAAGACTTCTTGAGATTCTGTCTGAATGAAACTGTTCCACACACACAGAATGTATGAAATCATTATCTTGACCTTTTGACCTCAAAATCAATAGGGTCTTTTTAGGTTATAAGGAGTTGTGGTATTAAGTTTCACTGCAAAACTCAAAGACTTCTTGAAATTTAGACTGACTGACAAATGGTACAACAGAAAGACAGATCCAAATTAATATCCCTCACTTTCAGAAAAAAGTTGAGCACAAAAAAATAGGTACAGCTGCTTCCATGACAGTAAATATCACCCTTCAACATTTTTTAATGTAACCATGTATTCAAACAATTTCCTAAAGACATATTCAAATACTTCTGAGAAACTAGGATTTTGAAGAATGAGACTAACAGTCAAACTTTGGATTCTCAAACTGTGATATTCTGAATACCAGAGATTTGTCAAAGTGAGCTGGATGTCATAACCACTTCTTCATTTTTTTTTTACCATCAGAACTCTCAGATAATTCTTTTTTTTCTCAGTCCCATCAAGTTCATGAAAAAGAGGTTTGACTGTACATTAACTAAGCCTATGAAGAGAATCAAGAGATGAATTCAAATCCAAATCAATCCTCTCCATCTAGTGTTTGGGAATATATACTAGTATGCTTTCTCTGCCATCAAACTTTTAAACATTGAAGTTCTAAAATAATATCAGTACTGACAGTAGCAATATTATCACCTTTTCTTTTTGTATGTTTCATACTATACACAAAAATCTAAATATAAAACATTATAGACAGAAAAACTGGTAAGAGCATCACATAATACACAGGCATAAGATATAATTTCTTAAATTTGTGTGTAGACATGTCATACAAAGAACAAAACACTTTACATTAAGATACACAAGTACATTAACATGTACGACAATTGAATACAATGAAGACATTGCTTGAAAGGGAAGAGGGCACTTAAAATATAGGATAAAGTCTCTTAAGATGGTCTGTTTTAATAGAGAGATTTTGGAGAAACCTACTCGTGATGTAAAACTCAGTAAAGCTAAAGTATATAGAAGTCAAAATTAACTGAAATTAAAAAGACTTAATCTTATGTACTGCTTGTAAACACAAGTTGAAGACAGACAGTTGAGCATGATCAGTTTCAATTCAAAAAGATTATGCTAGATGACATGATGGAATTTATCGCAATACAATATTTTTTGTAAACATTAGAATGCAATGTACTGGAATAGGGCTGTCATGATCAGTTTTCAGTTCGGGTACGGTTCAAAAAGATTAGTGTAGGTATAATACATTGCAATTATAAGGTGATTTAAATAATATGGTACAATTGTTGTCTATGGAAGCTTTTAAACTAGTTAAAATGTTGCTATTTCGAAGATTAAATGAAAATATTCTTTTTGTTGTTGAAAATAATACAAATAATTTTTTATTCCATTAACATTAAAAAAATGCAATTTTGTATACTGGAATATCAATATTATTGCACAGCCCTAGTGAAGTTTTAAAAGCACTACAAAAACTTAATACATAGGGCAGGTGAATTTTAACAAAATTTAAAATTTGAATAATTAAGGTTTAAAATCATATTCTAAATTGAACAAAAATTTCAAGGATATAACTATTACTTGTGTCAATTTTATTCTTTAAAAATTCAAACCAAAAAAAGTCCATGTACTGAGACCTCTTCTCATTTTTAATACTACATGAATAGTCTATACAAAAGAAACAGTAACTGAAGATAGGTTGATGTGGGATTTTTGCAAAGTGTGTCAAAGGTCAAGGTCAAGTTGACTATAACACTGGTATTTGTCAAAATCTTATATGAAAAACAGTGCACATTATGAAATATCAAAAAAGTTGTATATCAACACTGTCAACTATTTCAAAAAGTAGGTCAAAGCTCATGTTCAAGGAAACCTAGGTCGGAAACAAGGTCAAATACATAAGCTATAGTGCCAAGCTATATACTGTATATGCAAAATATCTAAACCATATCGCTTACAGTTCTTAAGATGTAAGTTGTAACAGATGGACGGACAGCCACCCTGCTCTGCAGACGACATAAAAATTATTACCAGAAACATCATTATTGACATAAAATTAACCTCAAAGGGTATGAACCTTGAGTTAAAAAAATATCTGTATGAACACATCAAATTGAAATTAATTGGAGTGGTAAACAAAAACATTAGATAAGATGGAATATTATCTGGAGCGATGCACGATCATCTAGGTAAATAATATTAATGACCCCGAGTCGGTGTCGCATATTTGTTTGTATGCTCTGATGATAAGAACATATTACTTAGATATGTAATTATTAACAAACATTAACTGATTAAGTGAAACAGGTATTAATGATCCAGAACACCATTTAATAATTGACTGTTACTCACATCATGCAATTTCATAAAATTCTGCTTTTGTTTTGGACTTCCTGAATGTGTATTCCTGTATAAATTGAAGAATGTAAAATGTGCTACATTAGGACTATTGTAAAGAAAGCCCAGATGTAAACCAAGGTGGGGTGAGGTGGGGTGGGATGGGGGTGGGGATCTGGTTCAGGAATAACTTAGAGCTTTGTTTGAATCCTCCTGCAAAGTCCTCATGCACCATGTTTAGAGCATTCAAGATAAATTTTGATATTCTATTCCAAATAAAGACAAAATGAAAATCTCACAACAATTAGCTATTACATGTACATGCATGTATGACTGAATGCCCAATCAAAAAGTAGGTCATAAATATTGCAGTTGGTGGAATATATTTTAGTACCTCCAGCTGTGTTCATAAAAAGCATGTTCCCTTTAGATATTCCATATGATGTATTCTTAGTCATGTCCTAAACATAATGCTTACAACAGCATACAAAGAGTATACTAGTGCTTCAGCCTGTTAGTATTTCAGTCTTCAGAAAAGATAAAACACACAAAACAACAATTATTAGGTTAAACATGGTATTTAGAAGACAAG